CTACCTCGGGTCGCGTATCGAGGAAGCCCCTCTCGAGTGGATGCCTGACACCAACGACAGCGAGCGAGCCAGGGTCATCACCCAGCCGCCCACACCACCGCTCCTCGAGGCACAAGAGGCACCCAACGCCAAGTCGGTGCCGCCACGCCAGCACACACTGACTGGCATCACACTGTGACGAAATAGAGGGAGGGAGGCATCATGCGCTCGATAATGGGCTTATCCGCGTGTGCATTCAGGCGCTCTCCAAGGCTGACATCTCGCGGCTGGAGGGATGACGACGGTCCTTGCCGCTTGGTGCCTGGCGGCGTTTTGGGGTCTCGCGTCCTGGTGGTTCCCGAAGGGACGATATGGCTGCACGCGGACCTGAGGGAGGCCACAGTGTGCCTGGCGGGGCAGGAGGAAGACATGGTGTGGGTGTCCACCGGGAGCGGCCAGGCCTGGCGCGCCAGGGAGGGCTTCTCCCTCAGTAAGGAAGGGCACACGCGCATGGCATGGCCGTTCTTGAATGTCTGTCTGTGTGCGCCTTGGTAGGTCGGACGAGTGGCTCTCCGATGGTGCTGCAACGCACCTTCATGCCCTGGGACGAACGCAGGCAATGACTGACTGACTGACACGATGGATGCGATGGATGCGGGAACACATGTAATACTCGTTTGTGCCTGTTTGTGATGCTTCTTGGCCATCCATCCGTCGTGGCTGCATGGCATGGCACGCAGCGCTGCGTTGAGGCGTCTGTTTGAGGAGGCCTTCTGCACCATCGAGTGCCACCGGGAAGCAGCACAGCTAGCACGGACAGACAACTCATGTGCCCTCCCGCTCTGCAGAGTGAGTGAGCCAATAGTGATTCCACTTCCTTCACACATCGATGGATGGCCTCTGTCTGTGTCTTCTCTTCCTTCGCGTGTCGTCTCAGGTAGTGGACCGTCCCTCTCCTGACGATATGGGCGAGTCTGATGAGGCCATGGTGGCGGACCCATCAGCCCCGCACCACCTGCAATGCGTCGACACGATGGTCGTCGACGGCTCCCACTGCAGATTCTCACTCTACGACTACCGGTCAGTCACAGACATACACACACAAAAATCATTACGTACGTGATATCATATCCATCCATGAAATGCCCTCTGTCTATCTGTCTGTCTGTCTGCAGTCGTCTGGACGATAACGGCATTCCGATCGACACGCCTCCCTGCCGCCATCTGGCCTACCCCATGGTGGTGTATGGCCTCTTTGACGACGACTCGACGGCCCTCGTCTACACAGAGGTCTCATGCCCCTTCCCACCCAGGCTCACCCACACGACCATCCATCAACAGCATCAACGGCATCAGCAGCACAGCAGTGCACCGCTGCCGACCCACAGCCATAGAGTGCGGATCGCTCTGCGGGAGGTGCGCATAGTCACACAAGTGAGCCAAGGGCTGGCAACGGAGGCGTCGACGACCGTGCGTGGCAGTCTGGACGATGAGTGGCCGCCAGAGGCACACTGGTACGTACGTACGTGGGATGGGACACTCACTACACAAACAATGACATGCACGTCACGGGCAATCGGGAGATCCTGTGTGTGCGTCTCTCTGGATCTGACTGACGGCTGTTGCCATGCCGTCCATGTAGGTACGTTAGTTGTCTCCGCGAGCTCTTCAATTGGTGGCACCGCAGCTTGGAGGATCCGAAGGCCATCAAGGCGCACACGATCCACTCGCTGTGCGTGCAGCACGTGTGCGGCATCCGACACCTGCTGATGCGCCAGACGCAGGGCAAGTGCATTCTGGACGGCCTCGTCAAGCCATCAGTCCCGCCACCCATCGTGGCGCGTCATCAGACAGACAAACAGACAAGAAGACAATCAATATGATGGCAGCGGGCCTCCTGACTGACTGACTGACTGACGTGACGAGGGAGCTGCTGTGTTGTCTGTATATGTTTGGCTTGTGAATCCTAATGAATGGGTTTGGCCTGGGGAGACAGACAGACAGACATACAGACAGACAGACAGACAGACAGAGCCGCCCCTCTCTCTCTTGGCTTAACTAACTACACAGCCCACCCCTGCGCACCTCCGTGTGTCGGCGTGTGCGCCACGCACTGCTGCACACCAACCGCATTCATCAATTTCGCAAACCCTACGCACAATTAGGGTTAGATGAGCACGTCGGCCGCCGCCCCGCCCCCCTCCAATCAATGGAAAAAAGCCTCCAAAGCAAAAGTATTACGGTTTAGGGTGTAGGGTTTGCGAGCTTAGAGTGGCACACACGTGACGATGTGGTGTGGTGTGTTATGGTATGGTTGGGTGTGTGTGTGTCGTTCGTTCGTTTGTGTCATTCATGCAGTCGATCCGTGCCCATTCGTCGCATCGACGAGGGCCTCTACATCATTGGCACCAGGCGGGTCTCGTGCAAGATACTCAATGGACAGCTAATGGGTGAGTACAGGCAAGCCGACATACGACCAGAAGAGAGAGCTGTCTGTCTAGTCCATGAGTGAGTGCATCATCTGGGTGCAGTTCGTGTGGGGGGTGGCATAATGAGCCTGGCCGACTTCGTGTCATCGGAGCGGGCCAACGTGCGGGCTAATCCGGGGGCCGTCCTCGCCCTGCCCTCCTCAGCATCCTCGCACCACTCGCCAACACACACACGGGGCGCCATCGCTGCCAATCGCTTCTCATCAGCTGGTGAGTGGGCGGTGTGGCTGCGGGGGGGCGGGTGGACGCACTCACTCACTCGTCTCCCTCTGACATGTGCATGTCCTTTGAACATTGATAGGGTCAAGCCAGCAGGACGTCCCCCGCACCAACCTGTTCACCACTTCTCAACACAGCAGCAGGCCACCACCAGCAGCACCACCCGCTGCTGCTGCTGCTGCTGTAGCTGTAACATCGCCGCTCAACCACGACAGCAGCAGAGTGACGGCTGCCCACCCCCCCAGCCACCAGCGCCACAGCCATCCCCATCCGACCCCTTCGGCAGCGCATACATGGCCGCCGCCACTGCCAGTGACCCCTTCATGTACACACAGCAGCAGCAGCAACATGGCGCTGGCTCATCTGCCTCGTGGCTGGACTCGTTCAACAATATGTTTGGCTGGGGCGGTGGTGGGGAGAGTGAAAGTGTGCCGTTGGAGCCGGAGAGGCAGAAAGGACTGCAGGGCGGTGGCGGGGCGGCGGAGTGATGATTGATAAGGGGCGTGAGTAGAGTAGGAGAGGTGCATGATTAAAGAGATGGGAACACCGCTTCTTTTATCGCCATGTGGGTCGGTGCGGTGGCTGGCTGGGTGGAATGAAGTGACTGGATGGATGGATGGTATTCACGTCTGTCTGTATGTATCTGCTGGTGAATGATTTTGGGGCTGAGAGAGAGTGAGTGCCTTTTTTGATATATAGATCGCGTGCTGCAGCGACTTACATATTCTGCTGCAAATGGTGGTGGTGCACAATCAATTAAGGAGGCCTGCTCTCGACGGACAGAGACAAGTTTGCCGTGAGTTGTCTGTCCACACACGAGAAACGAGAAATGGCAGGCACCTGACAAAGGAGGGGAAAAGAAGAACGAATTTTTGGCAAGTAGATGCATGAAATGGGCGACGAAGTTCGTCTAATTGGCAATCCCTTCTGGACTCATAATTCTACTGTTTTACGGACACAATTGCCCTTCAGCAAGCACTCCATTTGTGTGTGAAGTCAATGGGGAACCTTCTCCAGCCTAAGTTCAAGACTGCGGTGGCACACAGTGATAAGGAGACCTGCTGGCGCGTCATGAATCAACTTTGGAGGCTCTCAGAAGGTACGCGAGAAGGGAAGACGAAAGTCAGATGACGTCTGTCTGCCTGATGGTTGTGTGCGTGAACGTGTGCAGACGCTTGTGACCCGTGCATGCTGTCGACGCAGCAGGTGGACGTGTTGGCGGCCATGCTCGATGAGGACGGAAACATCAAGCCCGAGAAGCTGAGCCACTTCATCACAACGGTAGACAAGTTCATCCAGCTCCAGGAGGAGCTCTGCAGGCCCACCGTGACTGCGGGCCCCATCGACGAAGTGCTCCAGTGCCTGTACACGTGCGCTCTCATCGGCACAACATCACACACACACACAGACACACACATCACACACATAGCAACCACTGTCTGTCTGTCTGTCTGTCAGCGAGCGTCGCCGTCGTTACATAGAAGCCGTGGCTCGGGCGGTATCTGCTGCCGAGTCCACTGCCGAACCCACGGAAGATAGTGACTCGCCAATTTCGCCTCTGTTGAAGACGGGATTGTAGACGGCCGACGTCATGCAGCAGCTGCAGAGCCTCCAGAGGTCATAAGAGGCGTTCGCCGCCAAACATGAGGCTGAGAGGGACGAGTGGCGGCGGGAGCGAGATGTGCTCTGGAGGGCCGCATCCGAGAGCTGGAGATGGGCATCATACAGATGGGGAAAATCTCATTTGAGGGTGGAATCTATCGTGGGCAGCTGCTCACATAGATTCTGCTCACACAGGACGGCTTTGGCAAGCTCTACGAGGGCGAGTGGGCGGACGGAAAGCGACACGGCCAGGGGAAGGCCTACTATGAGGGCTATTGTTCTGTGTTGTGGTTCGATGGCGAATGGCGGGAGGGCCTCGCCCACAGCGGCACCCTCTTCCCTGACGGCGACTGGCATGGATGGAAGAAGCTCGATGGCAGCCCTTCTTGGCCCATCACGCCCATTCGCTGGCAATCGGGACAGGGGATACCCGACGTCGCCCTTAGGGATGGGAGCCCATGCGGGTTGCATCAGTGGCTGAAGAGTCTGGGCCTGTCGGGGTATTTCCCTGCTGGTGCGCTTGGGTAGCGAGTGCTTCCTTTGTGGCTGAGTGGCTGTCTGTGATGTCAATCTGTAGATCTGTGTGTGATTGATTGAGGGAGGGAGGCAGGGAGCGAGGAAGCGACAGCTCTTGTTTGGTGCTTCGTGCTGTCTCTTTATCCAGCCTATGTCTTCTCGGATGGCTGCAGAGACAGACAGATAGACAGACAAACAGACAGACAGACAGAGATACATACCAGTGTGTATCTGTCTGGTATGTATCTCTTCGTAGCACAGATGCGCCTCTCTGTCTTGTGACTTGTCTCTGTCTGCCCTCTCTGCAGACACACATGTATGTGTGTGCTCATGTCTGACAGACGGACAGTCCGTGTTGTCAGAGTGACTCACGTGTGTGATCATCAACCCATGAATCAGCAGTGAACACATGCACAGACAGAAAGGTCATACAGAGAGAGCATGTGAAGGTGATGGATGAGTTTGACTGTGGGTTCGCTTTCTGTGTGTATGTATGTGTGTGTGTGTGTGTATTTCACGTGTGCTGTGCATGGGAGACAGAAGCTTTTTGTCGATCCAGTGACTGTCAATCAGCTGCTGTTGAGAGTAATAAAAGGTCTCTGACAGCAGTCACGGGTAGTACGGGAGAGAGAGGAAGGACAATAAAAAACTTCCACACGACATGACATACATCACCTAATCCACTGTCATGGAGCACGTGTCATGGACACACATGCTGTATCATGTCAGTGTTCCACGCACATCCACTGAGAGCACAATGCTCCGACAACAGCACCCTCTCCCCCGCTCCCTCCCCTCAATGCATACACACAGACCCCCAGACACGCGACACACAGCCAGACAGCCATCCACGAGAGACACTCACCATCACAATATACCAGTAGGCAAATGCCCCGACGCACCCACATACTGCAGCAACCACAGCCAGGCGGCCACAAGAGGCCACACTCATCAGCTGAGTGCACCAGCAGGGAAATACCTCGACACACCCCGATTCTGCAGCCACCAATGCAATTTCCATCCGCCGACACCACGCAGGTCGGTTTCGGGTACGTCCTGTCCGGCCTGCCATCGAATGGGCGTGATGGGATACTCAGGGCTGCCGTCAGCCTTCTTTCCTCCCCTCCAGGTGCCGTCAGGGAAGAGGGTGCCGCTGCGGGCCAGGCCCTCCCGCCATTCACCATCGAACCACAACATAGGACCATCAAAGTGGTAGTATGCCTTCGCCTGGCCGTGCCGCTTGCCGCTCTTCCATTCGCCCTTGTAGATCGGTTTGTTGTTGCCGTCTCGCAGCTCCCCCTCGCCGTGTGGTCTGCCGTCAAGTGTTGGCCCATGATAAAAATGGACCTCCCACAGCATGCCCGTCGCCACGACAGCTCCGTTCTTCTCCCCGTTGACCCACTCGCCCCTGTAGGTCACCTTGTCGTTGATGAACTCCTCTCCCTGGCCGTGCCGCTTGCCGTTGGCCCAGCCGCCTCTGTAGACCAGCGTGCCGTGCTGATACTCATCTCCCTCGCCGTGCCATTGGTTGTCTTTCCACTCGCCCTCGTACAGCTTCACCATTCCTCCATTATAGGCTTGGTATTTGGTGCCCCGTCCCTCTCGCTTGCCATCCACAAAGTCGCCATCGTACACGACACATATCTTGGCTTCATCTCCGCCTTCTTTGGTGCGCACCACACCCGGCCCGTACTCCTTGCCCTTGCCGTGGTATTTGCCGTTTCTCCACTCGCCCTCATAGCGCATCTCTTGCTCGTCAAACGACCGCAGCAGCCCAGCACCATCAGGCAGCCCGTTGACCACCGAGCCATAGTACATGCCGAGTAAGTCCCGATGGACAATCTTGCGTGGAGTGATGTGGTCGTCCTGCACCTGGCGCCGCCGGAGCTCCTTGAGCTCTGCATGAGCCTCATCTCTCTGAGCCTCGGCCCGCTCGCAGCGTCTCTTCCATCCGTCCCTCTCTGTCTTGTACTCGTCTCTCTGGGCTTGGAGCTCCTCAATCCGCATCTCGTATTGCTGCCGCTCTCTGTCCATCGACCGACGAAGATCTGCATGCACACAGATATCCGCCCAGACACACGATTGGATGATGTGTCTGTCGTGTGCGCACCATCCATGACGTTGTGCAGTATCCCGGTCGTGTCTGTGTCGGCAGAAGTGCCCTGATGGTCTGCTATCTCCTCCTGCGTCATCTCAGAGCTGCCAGAATTGGCGTCCGAGAAGGCTTCCTCTCGTTGAGCCTCGGCTTCCTCGCACCGACGTTTCCACTCATCTCTTTCGGCTTCGAGCTTGCTGGTCCGGCTGCGCTCACTGTCCCTTGAGCTGCGCATCTCTGCGTGCACAGAGCATATGCGTGGGAATGGTCACATACACGCATGAATGCCTCCCGCTTGTGTCTGTGTGCACCTTCCATGATGGTCTGCAGTGTCGAGATGGTGTGGCTTGCTTGACTCCACGCGGCGTCGTCAGACATAGTGGCGGCAGTGATGCCCAAGCTGTGAGGATGGATTGGCTCGTTCGGCAGAGATCGGTGTTGCCAATCAATAGGGGCACAGCTGGGGGTGGCAGACAGGCCAACAGCGACGCACGGCGATGGCAAAAAGGCGGCGGGAGTGCGATCGCCACACGAGCTGAGGAGAAAGAAAGGAAGAAAGGGGAGGACAAACGAAAGGGAAGACGTCGGTGACAATCAAGACGAATCTTGGAGATCTGAAGGTCACACAAACATTCCATCGCCCATTGTGTTCATGTCCGTCATCATCGTGCTCCTGTCTGTGTTTGTCTGTCGTGCTGTTCACAGGTTGAGCTGTTCTGTCAGCAGGCGCCTAAGTGCTAAAAGGTGGGCGAGGAAACACGCGCATGGATCAATGCTCGTGACCCGCAGCACAATGTGTCTGCAGCAAAGTGGTGTGCATCTTCCATCCCTGCGCGTCGCTGTCTGTCTGGCCACACACTGCTGTGGCCCTATCGATTGCAAACACCGATCTCCGCTGACCGAGCTGTCTGACAATGAGTGGCCACGACGCCGCCCTCTCTGACGACGCCCAATCGCTATCAAGCGCCTCCACTGTGGCCATGCCGACATTTGAGACGACCATCCCGTCTTGAGCATCAACCCATGAGCACCGTCGGCGCATTCGTAAGGCAAGCAGTCCTGCCCCAGTCACAGCGTGGCATCCTCCCTCTCTCTGTGTGTGTAGGTGCGGGTCCGTGGTTTGCCGAACAACGCGTCGGAGCAGGACATCGTGTCCTTCATGCTGCCACTGCGGTGCCACACCGATGAAGTCACCATCATACGAGACCGTCACGTAAGCAGCCACGCCACATGACATCGTATTCCTTCCGTCGAGATTGCTGTGTGTCGCTTGTGTGTTCTCGCTGGCGTCTTCAGGGCTATGCTACGGGTGATGCATTTGTTCGTTTCAACTCCGATGCAGAGGTGAGGTCAAGAACAGCCGCTGGCAGCGTGCTCACACGTTCGTTTGTGTGTCTTTTTGTCTGTCCCCTGATCACACGCAGGCGCACCAGGCCTTGACGACGAACGGCCAGCGTCTCGGCGCTTATTGTATCGAGGTTCTTCCCTGCTCGTGCACCGAGTATGACACCTACGTCAGCCGAGTGATGAATCGCGAAAAGAAGAAGGCTCTCCGCTATACAGTGTACCACTCGCTGAAGGCGCTCAAGGACAGGAACACACGAGAGATCGCGCACCTCGCTCAGCGGTCCGCCATCGAACAGTAGCACTGGGAGCAGATGAGAATGCTCGAACGGGAGGCGGATTTATCTCTTCGGCGTATGGAGAACCTGACGGGCAATATCGACGAGCTGCAGCGGCTGCAGACTACTCTGACGAATGAGCTGCAGCAGCTGGAGGGCATCACCGACGCCCTCGTGTGGGATGTCTCTATGCAGCATGAGCGCAACCGGCGGCTCCGCGAGGCTATTCAGGCTCTCGAGACCGACACCGCCATGCTGGAGGAGCGACATCGGCAGCTTGAGAGGCGCCACGAGAGCATCACCCGCCAAGAGCAAGCAGAGCAAGACATCAAGCGTGCGCTATTTCAGCGCATCCAAGAGCTGGCGAGATCGAAGCTGAATGCACTCAAGCGCAATGAGAGGCTGCAGAGGCGCATCGATGCATTGCGCGATCCAGGAAGCGGCGCGGCAATCCTCTTCCATCAGACTGACCCACAAAGCCCCCAGCGACTGAGGGGTGGTGTCGATATGAGGGCGTGCAAGCCGATGGGGTTCTGGGGCTTAAACAATCGTCGTGGGTTCTTTTGTGCATCAACGGAGGAGATCACGAACGACCCCGGCAAGGCTCAGCATCGTGGGTGGATGTTCAAGTTGGCGGTGCGACTTGGACGCGTGAAGGAGCTGCACACCTTGAGAGGACCCGGGACGCTGGCGAGCAACGACGAGTTCGACAGTGTGGTGATTCAGACGGACTCGGGGCTGGAGTTTGCTGTGACGAAATCAGAGCAGGTGACGATTATTAGCGACTACCCCTACCCTCAGGGAATCAGATAGAAAGTTGTTGTGAGTCTGCCTGTTCGGCTCTGTGCTTATCTGTGTTGGCGATCCACGTTTTTGTCTACCTGCCTGTGCATGTCATAGAGCTGTTGTTTATCCAACGAAATGACCCGTGGGCCCATTTGGAGTGCCTGTGTGGATGGCTAGCTCGTGTGCGACTTTGCAATGTCTGCGTGGACGGTCAGTCTGTCTTGCGACTTTGCCACTGATTTATGAATGCTTTGTCCACGCATGACCTCCCAAACACTACCATCAAATCGCACACAACGCGCCTTCCAGTTGCCCCCAGTCACGGACTCTGGAATGGCACACCAATGACTTGCACTTGATCATTGCGATACACCACATATTCCAGACCATGGCGGTCGGTCACAACCACGGAATCAAAACCTCGCTGCTTCACCAGCGCCTCACTCAGCTGAGAGTCACTATGGTTGAGCACTCGTCCCAGCCGCAATCCAACCCTCACAACCCAGTCCGTCCGCCCTGACTGATGGCCGACCTTATGCTTGGTCATCTCCGGCGAGCATGCGCAATAGAAGCCCGTGCCCGCATAGTTTCGGTGCCTGGCGAAGCGATCGATGTCCACTCCGTAACGCTCAAGGTTGATAGCGCCCTCTCGAGTAGTGCGATGATAGGCAATGACACCGTATGGGCATTGCAGGCACCAGTGACTGGAATGGCCGTGTGGATTATTGCGGCAGAAGTGACTGTGCTGGCCGTTCGCATAGCGGCGGAGCTGTCGTTCCAGACGCCTCACGGCCCCCTCTTCGTCTGCCGCTTGGCCGCTCAACACATTGGCCTCTCTCTGCCGGGCCGCATTAGCAACAACGAGCTGCTGGATCTGCTGGCTGAGAGCATCGCTGCAGCGGGAGAGAGCTGCGTTGGCCTCCTCATGCCGCCGCCGTGTGACCTCTCGGTCTTCGTGGATAGCAGTCAGGCGTCGGCCCTCAGCGACCGCAATAGAATGCTCCTCACGCAACTCCCTTGTGCCGCGTTCTGCTCGCAAGTCTGGCCGCTCAGGTGCTCATTCTGCAGTGTCAGCATGGCCCTCACTGCAGTGAGGGCGTTCTCACGATGCAGTGCGTCATCAAGGCGGTCCTGGGCCGGCTGTCGCTCGGCCGCGTGTCGGGCGACCTGCTGTCTTGCCTCATCTGCATGGCGCTGGAGCTGGGCAGTCTTGACGTCAGCCTCCCACTGCCTCACTTTGGCCCTGGTTCGCTCCCTGAAGGCTCTCACGCGAAGATCCATCCGTCAAAACGCGTGTAAGCTGACAAACACACAGGGCATTGCGCTGTCAGACTGTCTGTACATGTTCTCCTTACTGGCAACGAATTACACCGCCGTCGCAATAAAGGACAACAGTAGCATGAGAAATCTGGCCAGATCTTCGTTGCCCATCACTCAGCACGTCACTTCACTGGAAGAGCTTCCTACTGCGAGCTCAGCGTGCAGGAGCGCCTTGAGGCCATGCCTTTCTATTCCCGCGCGTTGCTGTGTGCCCGGCAGTCACCCTCAGCTGTGCCCCTTCCCGTAGCAAGCGCAGACCGACCTTCCCGTAGCAAGCGCAGATCTCTGCTGAACGACGATGAATGGCCACCACGACGCCCTCTCTGACGACTCCCAATCGCTGTCAAGCGCCTTCACCGTGGCCCATGCCGACGTCATGCAGCAGCTGCAGAACCTGCAGAGGTCCCAAGAGGCACTCGCCGCACAGCAGAAGAGACAAATGCAGCAGATGGAGGCACGACACCAAGCCGATAGGGAGGAGCGGCGGGCTGAGAGGGACGAGTGGCGCCGTGAACGGGCTGCTCTCGAGGGCCGCATCCGGCAGCTGGAAGAGAACAGCATATCGGTGGGGGACATGAACTTTGAGGGTGGCGTCTATCGTGGGCTGCTGATGAATGGGCAGCCCCACGGCAGCGGCACTCTGCTCACACCTGATGGCCGCGTCATCTACACAGGTGACTGGCGGCACGGCAAACGGCACGGCTATGGTGAGGAGTTCATCAACGGCAAGGTGACCTACAGGGGCGTGTGGGTGAGAGGGGAGAAGAAGGGAGCTATCGTGGCGACGGGCATGCGGTGGGAGGGCCATTTCTATCATGGTCCCACACTCGATGGCAGACCACACGGCGGGGGGGAGCTGCGGGACCGCCACGACAAGATCATCTTCAAGGGTCAGTGGACTAACGGCCGTGGCCACGGCGACGAGTTCGACTCACAGGGCCAGGTGATTTACAAGGGCGAGTGGGCGGACGGCAAGCGGCACGGCCAGGGGAAGGCATACTATTACTATGATGGTCCTGTGTTGTGGTTTGATGGCGAATGGCGAGAGGGCCTGGCCCACAGCGGCACCCTCTTCCCTGACGGCAACTGGCATGGACAGAAGAAGTTTGACGGCAGCCCTAAGTATCCCCTCACCGCGTCCATCACGCCCATTCGATGGCAGGCCGGACAGAGGATTCCCAACACCGACGTGCCTGGATGGGGATCTGGCAAATTACATGAGTGTCTGCGGTATGAGGGACTGTTGGTGTATCTGCCTCATGGCGCATTAGGGTGGTGATGGTCTCTTGTGGCTGGCTGACTGCCTGGGTGGCCGGTGTGTGTGTGTGATATCAATCTGTGGATCTGACGGGAAGAGGAATGCTGACACAATATTGAGGAATTGAGACCCCTGGTATCTGGGTGCATTTTCTTCGTTGTGCACTGGAAGACATCGGTGTTGATTGAGAGAGGGAAGGAGGGACAGCCGGTTTTGATGCTTCCTGCTGTCTGTGTGAACACAACGGGGATGCACTGCTGGCCTGCTGGCTGCGCATTATCCATACACACCCACACACATACACAGACGCACACACACACACACACACACACAGAGAGAGAGAGAGAGAGCGAGATGGAGGGAAGGGCGTGGGCAGTGTCTGCTGGCGCCAGTGTGTATCTGCCTGTCCATCTCTGCATTGATAAATGTGTGTGCCCATGTCATGTGTGTGCCCATGTCAGCTCTGCCCATGTCAGCTCGTCTGGCTGCTGATGGGTGCATGTGCGCGGCTGTGGGTTTCTATGCCCGTGACGACTTGCGTGTGTGTGTGTCGGATGTGATGACTTTGCCAATGTCATGTTCGTGTGTAGATGTGTGGCAGTCAACTGCAACTGAATTGAGACCAAAAAGTGCATCGGCGTTGTCCACATTTCGGCAGACACACATGAAAGCAAAACACACAGCAACGAGCCAACAAATAGACAGCCACAGAGTGAAATAGATGCCCCATCCGCCAAAGTCCAACTGAGCGAGTCGGAATTAAGCTACGAGGAAAACGAAAAGGCCACAACAGCTTTGTGTTGTCTCTTTGACGTACAGCCAGATGGCAACGAGCAGCTGAATGCGAACGCGCCGCATCCATCCATCCATCCAGCAACACGTGGGTGTCAGCGGTGGGTCATTTGTGTGTCAGTTTGTGTGTCGACTGTCGTGTGTGTGTGTCCAGTTCCCTCTGTGGGCATCTCTGTCGCAACACGGCAACCCCAGGGCACCAACACCTGACGTGGGCTGATACTCTAAGGCTGCCTGCGGTCGATGGAGATGCCCACAAATGTGAAGGACACCCTCAGGAAGGAAAACAGAAAACAGAAGTCGGCTTCCACCACCCACATAGATGACGCAGCCAGGCAGACACTCAACTACGTGAAACAACAACACACACACAGCGGCATGAAAAGGAAGACAGCACACATACATCGAGACGCAACAGCTGTCTTTGATGTCTGTTTGTACGACTGTGGGGCGTGTCTGTCTGTTGGCCTTCCCCATATCAGCAGGCTGCTGTACGGCGGCAGGTGTGTGAATGCTCACACACCGCAGCCATTCAGCAGCAGACCAATAGGAGGCAGGACGACAGACACAGACACACCAATGGGAAAATCACCATACAAAGCTCATGAGCAGGAGAATACACTCATGGCAATCATGCTCTCCTCATCCCCCCGCCCCTCTTTCTCGGACACAAAGCTGGAAGCGACATATAGACAGCAAGCATCAGATAGACCCCACATGAAGAAAGACAGCACCACGGCAGGCAAGCACACGTCGAGCCACGACAGCTCTTCGTGGTTTGTGAGGCTCACACACAGCACTCACCCAGCAGCACACAAAGGAGGACAGCAGAGAAAGCACACACTTGCACATCCCGGCAGGCGAAAAATCACCACAGCGACACACGACATCATCTCATCCATATCCGCTGCCCACAGCAGCAGATCGTACAGCAGTCAATAAAGCCACACACGAAGGGGACTCGATCGACACCCATCACACCGTGAAGCGCCACCGCCCGGCATTCACCTTCCCGCGCCACGAGCAGCTGAGCTACAGGCTGTCCATCGACTCACTGCCCTCACACACCGGGACACCGGCCACCAAGCCCCTCTCACATGGACGCGCCTCTTTGAAAAACCATCGTGTTGTTCCCAGGAACACTCCTGACCATCGCACTGCCCGGAAATCCCAGTCCCCGCAAGAATTCCATGAGCATCTCCCTATTACACGACACGCCGTCGCCCATTCTCAGGCAGACCATTTTAACTGTGGGAAATCGCGTCAAGACCGAAAAGGCATTTAGAGAAAAGGACGAGACACACGCGGACAGCGACGGTAGTGCGGGCGGCTGGAGCCGGTTGGCATGACGCACATTGAGAACCACCGTCGCTTTCCTCACCCTGGCTTTCACGACTGCCTCGAGCTCATGTGACTCCTCTTCTAATGACTGCCAGTGAAAAACTGGGACGGAAAAACCTCTCTGTGACGGTCGTCGACCGGTCATATTCATGGACACGAACACGTCGAGAGGCCCGCCCTCGACAGCACAGTGCTTCAGCCCCGCCCACACCAGCGGCACAAGCACATTTCGCGAAGTGAACGTAACCCGCACTGTGTGAATGACATGCGAGAGGCGAGGCAGCTGCCTAATGACCTTGTCTAACCCTCCCCCATACAGCGACACTCCCGCTGGCCCACTCTCGTTGTCCACTTGAAGCGCCGTGGCCGCAGGGAACATCGATGGTACGCTCTCGGTGACCCACTCCGGCAGCGGATGGCGGGCGTCGCGCCTCGTCATGCCCTCCGGAAACCTCACAAAGAGGTCAGCCGCTTGCTTGAAGGAGAGGCCATAGAGCTCGTTCGCGCCAGTCGCATGTTTGTCGAGGAGGTAGGGGGAGAGGCTGACGTACTTCGCGCTCGTCGTCAGGAACTGCAGGGTCTCTCGAGCTCCGGCGAGGTCCTCTGGCCTGCCGATCAGCGGCAGGTGGATGTTGGAGGGGGCGGGGCACTCGCGGGTTGCTCGCCTGACGAGACGGGGGCGTCCATTGTCCACCGCTAGCGTGTGGTAGAGCTCCTTAGCGCCCTTCGCCAGCCAGGTGCTTCGGAAGTTATGCAGTGCCTGCGAGAATAAAACCCACATTGATCAAGATACATACCGGTGTTGCGTAGCCGTATTGAGGCTTCTCACTTGTATGTGATTGGCTTTGCAGAGTGTCCCCGGAATCACGACCTCCACGCACTCCAGACCGCTAAGTGAGAGAGCCTTTACGTATTTGGCCAGAGAGATGGCGCCAGTGAGCGACTTGATGGAGCTGTGGGAAGGCGTTCCCGACAGCGATTGGACGATTTCGGTGAGCGGCGTGTACACCGGATGTCCATCAGCTGACACCTGGTAAGAAACCGACATGCACCTTCCACCCAAGCACGGCCGAATTATCACCTGGCACCCACCTGGTTGAGCAGATGCAGCGACCGCAGGCCGCCAGTCACGCCTTTGAGCATCGTCAGCCCCCCGTGTGCAGGCCACTCGACGCTCAGATGGGCCAGGGCGGGCATCTCATACACATTCTTCCCACCGATCTGTCTCTGCATCACGCCCAGCCATTCACGCGTCAGGACCGCCTGACGAGCCGCGGGAAACTCACAGTATTGCGGTCGGCGACACCACGGATTGTGCGGTCAGCGATCGTGACGGTGATCTCAGTGACGGCGGGAGCAGCGGCCTCGAGCAGCACAAGGCCAATAACGCGTATGCCGCTCTTGATCAACACGCGAATGCTGCGGGCGTGGGAAAGCACATCTGGAGAATACACCAAGACACACAGACAAGTGACCGGCAACGACTCGACTGCCGTGCTGTGTTGTACTCTCCTTACCTTTCCACTTCTTATGGACGGGCTGGGGGGCGCGCGTGGGACGTTTGGGGCTGTTGATCAGGACGATTGTGTGCATCTTGGGGTTGCTGACGATCGACTCGATCGCCGTGCTGACACCCGAGAGACACCGGACGCACTCGACGAAGCCCAGATAACCACCTGCAGACCAAATCAGACAGACAGACAGACAGACAGACAGGTGAGGCGACTGAGATGGCTTTCCCTTTCGCTCTCTCACCGATGCCGGTGCGATCGCTGTCGCTCAGCCAGAGCACCTCGGGAATGCCCTCCAAGCAGAAGGCATCCTGCACACACACCGGACAGCCTCCTCAGTAAAGGGATCACTGTGCCGTCCTGTGTCCTCACCTGTGTCTCCAGCAGCGCCTGTATCATGCGGAGTTTCGCTGCTGAGCGGGAAGTGACTATGGGGACGGCTTTGGTCATGGTTTCGACGGTGTCCGGGAGATGGTCGCTGAAGATGCTCTGCCACACACGGAGATTCCGCTCGACAGCCTGATTGACAGACAGGCGGAGAGAGGCAGAGATGAACATGTGTGTGAGAGAGGGGCCCATCAATGTGCATAAACGAATACCTGTGGCTTGCTTGGCGTGGCGAAGAGATTGAACGCGTGACGCCGCTGCTCGTCCACCAGCTGCAGCTGACTCCTGAGCACACTGCTGAGATGGTCAAGCTCCGTCGGGTTCTTGGCGAACTGAACCAAAATGGATACCCACGCAAGACACACACACGCACACTCATGTCAAACAGCCCATTTCCGTTTGTCATCGTGTGTGTCTAACCACCCTCGGTGGCAGCCTTTTATCCGAGGGTGCGGCCTGGCTGATGGCCTCGATGGTGGGCTGGGCGTGTTTGTCGACGATGCTCTGCCACACACGCAGATTCTGCTCAACAGCCTGACGGACGGACAGACAGACAGACAGAGACGAATGTGTGCGCATGAGAGAGAGAGAGGGAGAGAGAGAGAGAGACGAATGTGTGATTGTGAGAGGGGGGCCCCGTGACATGCCTGTGCTTTGTTTGGTGCGACGAGGAGGTTGACAGCCTCTCGCCTGTGCTCGTCCACCAGCTGCAGCTGACTCCTGAGCACACCGCGGAGACTGTCAAGTCCTCTCAGCTGCCTCGCAAACTGAACCAACACACGGACGGACAGCCAGCCAGAGAGACAGACAGCATCGATTGCATGACATGACCAACGTGTTTGTGTGTGTATTCCTTACCGGTGGCTGCAGCTGCGGCAGCTGTGCGGGAATGGTCGATGCTGGCTGCGTGCATCCGACTGGCGAATGGCTGTCGGCGACGAGTGGATATGACGGCGTTGGTGCTGTGAATGGCAGTGGCTGTGGGCCAGTGGGGCCACTTGATTGATGGACCGGACAGGACACACAGAAAGCAAGAATGGACAGCCATGTGCACACCGTCATGTGGATGGCTTACGGTGTGTTGTGTTGTGCCATGCAGTATGGCGCTATCAGCTTCTCCATCACACGCTGCCGACAACCTTAAGAAGTGAGCGACAAACAAACACAATGAAGGCAGACACATCGATTATGGTACACACATTGCCATTGACAGAGAGTCTCCTCCTTACGTGTTAATTTGTAATAGTGTTGTGTGATGAAGTCATCAGCGGCCCTCCCATGTGTGCCGCACACACGACACACTGTCCGCCTCTCGCCACTGATCACGCACACACACACAGGCGAATTGACTTGCCTTCAGTGACCCCATTCGGCCGTCCACCTGATGTCGTCGAAGTGGAGCCTCCTGTCGCCGATGAACAGATTCCCTGGCCCTCTCACGACCTCCTCGATGACATCGGTGTGCGGGAAGGCCCACACCGTCTCACACAGGCCGTCCACCAGCACACAGTCACTGCCCTGGGCGATGGGCGGCGTGAGGGCTTTCCTACTCGACCGAAAGAGCGGCGCACAGTCGTCTTGTCGGTTGAGGTAGGCCTGGCCGCTGATGTGCAGGGGAAGGGCGGGGAGGGAGGCGGTGACCTGCAGATCTTCATCGTTGTCGGGCAGATCTCCATAAGCAGCATCACCGACACGCCGCTTCTTCCTTCTGTGTGTCGTCTCCTCCATCTCATGGGACATTTCGGCTGCGACTCTCCGCAAGCTTAGCTCGCAGACGAAAGGAGAAGAATGAAGAGGAGGACACACACCAGGTACGCCGGGAGATGTGCACAACAAAATGAATAGATCCGGCACGATTACATGCATCATGTGCCGGCTGTGTGTCTGTGTCTGCAGCACCGCCCGCCGCATTTCTCTGTCCCAGAGCGTCGCTGTCTGCCTGCCGGCCACACACTGCTGTGCCCTTATTGACTGCAGCCATCTCTGCTGACCGAGCCGCCTGACGATGAGTGGCCACGACGACGCCCTCTCTGATGACGCCCAATCGCTATCAAGCGCCTTCACGGTGGCCCATGCCGACATTTGAGACGACCATCCCGTCTTGAGCGTCAGCCCATGAGCACCGTTGACGCATTCGTAAGGCAAGCAGTCCTGCCCCAGTGACAGCGTGGCATCCTCCCTCTCTGTGTGTGTGTAGGTGCGGCTGCGTGGTTTGCCGAACAACGCGTCGGAGCAGGACATCGTGTCCTTCATGCTGCCACTGCGGTGCCACACCGATGAAGTCACCATCATACGAGACCGTCACGTAAGCAGCCACGCCCACATGACATCGTATTCCTTCCATCGAGATTGCTGTGTGTCGCTTGTGTGTTCTCACTGGCGTCTTCAGGGCTATGCTACGGGTGAGGCATTTGTTCGTTTCAACTCCGGTGCAGAGGTGAGGTCAAGAACAGCCGCTGGCAGCGTGCTCACACGTTCGTTTGTGTGTCTTGTTTTCTGTCCCCAGGCCTTGGGGAGGAACGGCCAGCGTCTCGGCGCTTATTGTATCGAGGTTCTTCCTTGCTGGTGCAGCGACTATGATGCCTACGTCAGCCGAGTGAACAATCGCGAAAAGAAGAAGGCCCTCCGCTACACAGTGTACCACTCGCTGAAGGCGCTCAAGGACAGGAACACACGAGAGATCGCGCACCTCGCCCAGCGGTCCGCCATCGAACAGCAGCACTGGGAGCAGATGAGAATGCTCGAACGGGAGGTGGATTTATCTCTCCGCCGTGTGCGGGACCTGACGGGCAATATCGACGAGCTGCAGCGGCTGCAGACTACTCTGACGAATGAGCTGCAGCAGCTGGAGGGCATCACCGACGCCTTCGTGTGGAAGGTCTCTATGCAGCATGAGCGCAACCGGCGGCTCCGCGAGGCTATTCAGGCTCTCGAGAACGACACCGCCATGCTGGAGGAGCGACACCGACAGCTCGAGAGGCGCCATGCGAGCATCACACGTCGAGAGCAAGCAGAGCAAGACCTCAAGCGTGCGCTATTTCAGCGCATCCAAGAGCTGGCAAGATTGAAGCTGGATGCACTCAAGCGCAAGGAGAGGCTGCAGAGGCGCATCGATGCATTGCCCGATCCAGGAAGCGGCGCGGCAATCCTCTTCCATCAGACTGACCCACAAAGCGCCCAGCGACTGAGGGTTGGTGTCGACATGAGGGCATGCAAGCCGATTTCGGATTTCTGGAGTGCAAGCCAGATTAATCGTCCTGGATTCTTCTGTGCATCAACGGAGGAGATCACGAACGACCCCAGCAAGGCTCAGCATCGTGGGTGGATGTTCAAGTTGGCAGTGCGACTTGGCCGTGTGAGGGAGCTGCAGACACTCAGAGGATACGGCACGCTGGCGAGCAACGACGAGTTCGACAGTGTGGTGATTCAGACGGACTCGGGGCTGGAGTTTGCTGTGACGAAATCAGAGCAGGTGACGATTATTAACGACTACCCCTACCCTCAGGGAATCAGATAGAAAGTGGTTGCGAGTCTGTGTGTCCGACTTTATGTGTTGGTGGTCCACGTTTTTGTCTACCTGCCTGTGCATGTCATAGAGCTGCTGTTTATCCAACGAAATGGCCCGTGTGGATAAACACACGGTGTGTGTGTGGATGGCTACTTCGTGTGCGACTTTGCCATTGGTTTATGAATGCTTTTGTCCACGCATTTCCTCCCAAACACTACCATTAAATCCCTCAGTCACGGACTCTGGAATGGCGCACCAATGATCCGTACTTGATCATTGCGATACACCACATATTCCAGACCGTGGCGGTCGGTCACAATTACGGAATCGAAACCTCGCTGCTTCACCAGCGCCTCACTCAGCTGAGAGTCACTATGGTTGAGCTCAAGCACTCGTCCAAGCCGCAATCCAACCTTCACAACCCAGTCCGTCCGCCCTGACTGATGGCCGACCTTATGCTTGGTCATCTCCGGCGAGCACGCGCAATAGAGGCCCTTGCCCGCATAGTTTCGGTGCCTGGCGTAGCGATCGATGTCCACTCCGTGACGCTCAAGGCTGATAGCGCCCTCTCGAGTAGTGCGATGATAGGCAATGACACCGTATGGGCATTGCAGGCACCAGTGACTGGAATGGCCGTGTGGATTATTGCGGCAGAAGTGACTGTGCTGGCCGTTCGCATAGCGGCGGAGCTGTCGTTCCAGACGCCTCACGACCCCCTCTTCGTCTGCCGCTTGGCCGCTCAACACATTGGCCTCTCTCTGCCGGGCCGCATTAGCAACAACGAGCTGCTGGATCTGCTGGCTGAGAGCATCGCTGCAGCGGGAGAGAGCTGCGTTGACCTCCTCATGCCGCCGCCGTGTGACCTCTCGGTCTTCGTGCATAGCAGTCAGGCGTCGGCCCTCAGCGACCGCAATAGAATGCTCCTCACGCAGCTCCTCTTGTGCCGCGTTCTGCTCGCAAGTCTGGCCGCTCAGGTGCTCATTCTGCAGTGTCAGCATGGCCCTCACTGCAGTGAGGGCGTTCTCACGATGCAGTGCGTCATCAAGGCGGTCCTGGGCCGGCTGTCGCTCGGCGGCGTGTCGGGCGGCCTGCTGTCTGTCCTCGTCTGCATGGCGCTGGAGCTGCGCAGTGTTGGTTCGCTCCCTAAAGGCTCTCGCTTTGGCCCTGGTTCGCTCCCTGAAGGCTCTCACGCGAAGATCCATCCGTCAAAACGCGTGTAAGCTGACAAACACACAGGGCATTGCGCTGTCAGACTGTCTGTACATGTTCTCCTTACTGGCAACGAATTACACCGCCGTCGCAACAAAGGGCAACAGTAGCATGAGAAATCTGGCCAGATCTTCGTTGCCCATCACTCAGCACGTCACTTCACTGGAAGAGCTTCCTACTGCGAGCTCAGCATGCAGGAGCGCCTTGAGGCCATGCCTTTCTATTCCCGCGCGTTGCTGTGTGCCCGGCAGTCACCCTCAGCTGTGCCCCTTCCCGTAGCAAGCGCAGATCTCTCCTGAACGAGCTGCCCTTTCGCGTGCTTACTGCTGACAATGAATGGCCACCACGACGCCCTCTCTGACGACGCCCAATCGCTGTCAAGCGCCTACACTGTGGCTGCTGCCGACGTCATGCAGCAGCTGCAGAGCCTCCAGAGGTCACAAGAGGCACTCGCCGCCCAGCACACGAGACAAATGGAGCAGACAGAGGCAAGACACCAGGCTGCTATAGAGAAGCTGGAGAGCCGCATCCGGGGACTGGAGGCACTCGCAGGCATCGCTGTTGGCAGCATGTCCTTTGAGGGTGGCGTCTATGACGGACAGCTGATGGGTAGGAAGCCCCACGGCAGCGGCATTCTGCGCGCACAGCATGGCCGTGTCATCTACACCGGTGACTGGCGGCACGGCAAGCGGCACGGCCGCGGGAAATCGACAAACGGCCGTATGGTGTATGAGGGTCAATGGGCGGATGGCGAGATGAAAGGCAAGGGCCACATTACCAACCTGACGCTCAAGGACGCCCAAGGACAGCATTTGGGCCTCTTCACTGGACCCACACTCGACGCCAAGCCGCACGGCGAGGGGGATATGCGAGACGACCTCGATCAGGTCATCTACAAGGGCGAGTGGATTGATGGAGTGAAGAAAGGAGCTGGTGAAGCGACGGGCATGCCATGGGAGGAGGGCTGCAAATATTACGGGGGAACCTTCCATGGGCAGCCAGACGGCGAGGGCGAGCTGAGAGACGGCGACGACCAACCCATCTACAAGGGCGAATGGAAGAACGGCAAGCGACACGGCCAGGGGAAGGCATACTACCGCGACCGCCGTACTCAAGGATGGAGGAGGAAAAGGTGGCGGCCTGTGTTGTGGTTCGATGGCGAATGGAGGAAGGGGAAGGTGTACCGAGGCATCCTCTTTCCTAACGGCGGCTGGGTAGACCCTTCCGAGGAAACGGTATGGCCCGACCCCAGACACTGCTCACTTCCCATATCATGGCAGGCGGGGCAGGAGATACCTCATGCCTATCTGCCGGGGATAGGATACCTGTCCCAGTGGCTGGCGAATCAAGATGTATCAGTGTATCTGCCTGATAGACTAAGGCCACTGGCATACTAGTCTGTCTGTTTTATCGAGCTCACCGGCTATGTCATCGGTTTATCAACCTGTCGGTGTGCCTGCTTTGTTGATGCCGTGTGGCCTCTCGCGACTATGTGGATGGACCTATCGCATCGTATGACCTGGACATTGTGTGCGCTGTTTCAACGATGTTCGGTCTCAGCCACACACATGTACACACGCACACTCACGTGCGATCACAACATTGTCAATCGACACACTTACGTGCACGGGCAGCTCTCAGTACCACGTCAATTCTTCCTCGCTCATCTGCTCTGGTGCTCCCTTCTCTCCTACACCAAGACACGATAATCCACCCATGTGCATGTCTGTCCGTCTTTCTTTCTTTCTCAGCCACCCACCTCCTGCTGGTGCTTTGTCTTCCGGCTGTTGAATGGCCGCCTGCTCGTCCTGTGCAAGCCATTCACTGTCCGCTGCAGCCGCCTCATCTATCGGTGTCTCCCTCATTTCCTCCCCTCCTGCACGAACGAACCATTCGTGCCCATGCACACGAATTGATGTGTGTGTGTGTGTGTGTGTGGATGGATGTCTCACTCACCGCCTGCTTCCTCCGCAAACCACTCTTGATCGCCTGGGACTCCTTCCTGCTCGCCTGCCGGCCGTGGCAGTGGCTGCTCTGCAAACCAATCCTCATCGGCCGCCGGCTGCTGCTCTCGCTGACCTTCCACTCTTCCTGCGCAAACACGCGATCGGTGTCTCTGTTTCCATAGATGCGTGGAGGCTGACCTGTGTCATGTGCAGGGCTTTCTTCGCCCTTCTGCTCTTCTTCGCCGCCAAACCAGTCAGTGACCTCGGCTACCTCTCCTTGCTGCCGCTTGTCTGCGGTGAACGTCATTTGAACAGACGCAAAGGCAGGTGTTGTGTTGGTGGGGCGGTCTCACTCACCTCCTCTTGCTTCCATTGGCGGCTCAGGCTCGGCAAACCACTCCTCACCGCCGGCCGTCTCTCCTTCTTCATCAGCTGCTGCTGATGGCTCAGCAAACCACTCTTCTGCTTCTGCCGCTGCTGGTGCTAGTGCCGGTGCTGCCGCCGTTGGTGCCGAAGGTGCAGCTGCAGGGCCTGGAGCACAGCGCAACGTGTCCATTATTGGCCGTGTGTGTCTTTGTACATGTGTGCATGTCTTGCCGACCTTCTTCCTCTGCGAACCACTCTTCTGCTGCTGCTGCTGCTGCTGCTGCTGCCGCTGGCTGAGATTGCGGAGCACCTCCTTGTGCTTCTGCTTCATCGCCAAACCACTGTGCTTCCTCTTCCTCTCCTGCTGCTGCTGCTGTTGGTGATGACTCGGCAAACCAATCATCAGCACCTGGCTGCTCCGAGGGCTGCTGTGCTGCTGCTTGTGCTGGTGGTAGTTCTGCTGCTGTTGGTGATTCTGGTGGCTCGGCTGGTGCAAACCAATCCTCATCAGCAGCAGCCTGCTGCTCCCCCGCTTCTTGCGTGACTGGCTGTGGCTGTGGCTGTGGCTGGGCGCCTGTAGGTGTCTTCTGTTGTTCTGCTGCTCGTAGGGCTTCTGAGCATCCACGCGTACATGCATGTGCGCGTGGGTGGATGCGCTGTTGACATGTGTGTGCCCCACCTGGCTGCTCTGCTGCTCTCTGCTGGGGCTGTCTCTCAGCTTCTGCTGGCGCTGCCGTTGGCGCTGCTGCCGGCGGTGGCGGCGAAATGGCAGCTTGCTCTGCGAAGAACATGCATGCAGACACAGGAATACGTGGAAAAGAGGAAGTCTTCACTCACCAGCAGCACTGGGTCGCACAAAGACAGGATGAGGCACTTCAGCTGGTGCTGCGGGTGGTGGTTCGTGTCCCCTTGTCGGCTGATGAGAAACACAATGAGAGTGAGTGAATGTAAGTTTGGAGATGGTATAGGAAACAATCTCACCCGGAGTCTTTCACGCTGAAGAATGGTCACTTTTCTGGTCTTGGGCGCCTTCTACATACGTGTACACCAGGTACAGATGTGTCTCTGTGCACATTGCTAGTTTCCCTCACTCACGTATATGTATCGTGTGTGGGGGACGATTGGAATGGCCCTAGAAGGCAAAGAGGCATACACACGCATGCCTGTCTGGTATGGATGGATGGATACATGGCTTTGTGCTCACACAGTGTGTCTCTTGATCTGCGCTGATGCTACGACGAATGTACCATCCATACCCCGATATAGGCCCAGATCAAGCATCGAGCGGCGCCTGCACACAGACCCACATACACCCATACACAGAGAAGCACACCTGGCTGTCTCTCTTTGTGTCTGTGTGGATATGTGGACCTCTTTTCTCTGTGTGTGGGCGGCGCGGGGGTGCTGTCGATCGTTTGCAGCACGGTCTTCAGGGATAGCCGGGTGTGGGCATACTGAACTCATGTATGCATATCCACATGCGTCCACACACATGGGGGGACAGACTGTGTGTGTGTACCTGCTCTCGATGTATGAGCATCCGGTCGATCTTCTCCAGAGAGGAGGCGACATTGGCCTGCACACACGCATTCACATAGACACACACCTGCACCTCTCTCCCACTCACACGCATTCTCACCTCTTTCAGCCCGTCAGTGTACACATGAGACAGAACCGCCACACCTAAAGACACACACACGCCCCCATTCAAGCCGACAACAACACACATGTGCTCGCTGACCGTTCTCCAGCACGTCAGTGTGTGCACAGTGGGCCGCCATGCAATCGACGATCGACCGAATGCACACAGGGGTGGAGAGGTGCGCCTTCCAGACGTGTGCGATCTTGTGTAAGATGTACAAGGCGTGTCGCACACACGGCAGGTGGGCCACGTGGGCTTGCATGGTCTCGACCACCTCGTGGATGACTCCATCAAGCATCTGCAGACAGCACACGAGTGCTACGCACACACGATTTCCGACCTCTTACCATCTTTGCCGTGTGTTCGGGCAGGCGTGCGTCTATCTCTGAGAGCGCAATCGCCTGTATACGCACACACAGTGTCGATGCGTCATGTGCATATATCGAGGAGCACACCGACCAGGAGGTGAGGTCTGTGTTGGTTGATCTGCAGGATCTTGACCAGAGGAATAAACGACGGACTCTGACGCGACACGCCATCGACACCACATACTGCATGTCGGACATCGATCAAAATGCATTCGTATGTGAGTGGGCACCTTTCTCAGCGTGTCAGAGAGAATTCGCCTGCATAGTTATGAGCATTCGTTGGTGTGTGATATATATGGCTGTGTCTCAGTGTGTACCTGAATGCGCGTTGCTCTTGCCTCGTGAACTCTGCACACACATACATATACGCAAGTTTACTTTGCGTATGAATACGTGTTGCACTCACTTTGTAAGGCCGCCAGCGATACACTTGCGCTGTCCCTTATTGTGCTGGCCGATGATGGATGAACAAACAGAAATGGATAGAATGATGGACGCGTATTGCCTGTCCATCGGTTCTTGCCTGTCGGTGGTTCGGATATCATGCAGCCTCTCAATCGCACCACACTGCACACAAATTTGCAGATGGATGGATGCATAGGTGGGTGTACATAGAGGGAGAAAGAGAGGATATGTGTATGTATGCCCACCCTGATGAGCTCGGTCATGTGTTTGCTGGTGCGTGTGATGAACGACAGCAGAGACAGCGCCTGTGGACACAGAAAGATACATGCACACGTTTGTGTACGTGTTTGTTTTGCGCGTGAAAGCACACCTTCAGCAATACGCCTTTCTCGGCATATCTGAGTGCATTCACGACCGCACGAATGTGAGAGGCAGTCACCTGCCCTCAGATACACACACGCATATGGACGCGAAAGACAGTCGATGAACGCGCACAGACGTACATTGCCATCATCGGCGAAAGACTTCTCCACGACTGTCAGCGTGTGGAATGGGGCGGCCTCCATACAATCCACACACGTGTCCAACACGCATCGCTGATCCATACTGGCGTCAGTAGAGGCGAGAATTGCCTTTTTGTGAACGCACAGAGAGACACAAAACCCCATAAATGTGGGCAAATATTGATGGCGTGTACCAGTATGAATTTCCTCTCGTCTCTGTCCTGGTTTTCCCTCAGCAGCCGGTTGATGGAGGTGTAGTCCTGTTTGCTAATCAAATGTGACACCACCTACCATACACACACAGATGGAAAGATGAGTGTGCTTCTACGTGCTGTTTCAATCCGTGTCTACCTCTCTTGTATTGTCCTGTTCATATTGCTGGTGCTCCCTGATGCAGTGCACAATCGCGTCGCACTTCTCTCTCATACACAGCACGCCGTCAATGCGATCGATCGCACCACACTGGAAAAGACAGAGACGGACATCGTGATGTTCTGTGTACCCATCCATGTGTAGTTTTCTGCCTGCCTTCCGGATGATCCGTGCGATTCGCGAGTCGTCTTTGCACATCATGTGTAGGACATTCAGTAGTCGAGACAGCACGGGGAGATCAGCCCTGCAGAGCACACACATCGACAACGTGTGTGTGTGTGTGTGGTTGGGGGTCCGGAGGGACCATGCGTACGCGTGTGTCTCCATCGCATTCAGCAATGTCATGACTACTGGCGTGGCGGAAACAGTGTCCTGCATCCATGTACAGACAAAGTGGTATGCATAGACATGTCTCTGCAGCAGAAACACGCACCCTGTATGTGGGCATCAGTCTCTCCAGCAGCCTGCACCCACCAGACAAATCGGCACATGAGTGAGCTCTAATGCATACGTAGATGCACTCACCTGAATGTGTTCTCCACAACGGCTCTGTTGTCCATATGGAGGCCACCCTGTGGACATCCACACACCATCTTATGTGCACTGCACAACCATCGTGCGCATCATGCGCTGACCTGTGAGACAATGCCGTATCTATCGTTGCAAGCGGCCAGCTGGCCGATGATGTATGCCTGCACACACAAACATGCAAGAACAGGTGTATACGCGTTTCTCGCTCCGTCTGTGCCTCTGCCTGGTCGTTTCGTTCGTCATCAATCATGGAGGCAATGTGGGCGAAGTCATACAGACGGATGCACTCAGATACCTGCCAAAGGCGTATACACATCGAATCCCACATTGCAAGCCTCTTCATGCCTTATCCTCCTCAGTTATCACCTCATCCCCTGCGATGGACACACATACACATTGGATTTTGATTCCGCCCTGGAGTCCGTGTGCACTTCCTTACCTTCTCTCTGCTGCGCATCCTCTATCATATCCACATCTACCACTCTGCACTCGCACATCAGCACACCCTCGTCACCACCTCCACCAGCCATTTTGCCGCCAGGTCTCAATCCCTTACCCAAGCGACCAGACGGGGGCTGATGGACGAACAGAAGGCACTGCGAAGTCGCCCTCTTATCTTCGGCTTGCAATGGGGCTACGTCCTGGAATGTGCACTACGACCTGTGCCTGTGTTTTCGCCGTGGTTTTCCTCTGGTAGCGTCAGGCGAGAATTCTCGCCGCGACGAGACGGCGCGGCCGCGGAATGAAATTGCGTTCCTGTCCTGAGTGAAATTCCACGTTCCTGCCCTCCATTCCTCGTTCTTGCCCTCGCCCTCCTCCCATTCGTTTCTATGGACTGCTCGTGTGGGTCAGCAGCTGGTAGTCTTGTGATATCAACAATCTGTACAACTTCTTGTCGACCGGTGCAAGCGGCTGGTCGTCTTGTGCTTCTCGCCCAACCTCAAGCTGTTGACCAGCCTGCTGAAGCCTTTGTGTGACGTGGACTGCAAGGCAGGCCTCGGCGACGAGCAACTCAGCAGCTTCCTGCATGCCAGCCGCGTCTTTGCGGTAATCTCACGCAGCTGTTTCGCTGGAGTCGAGGAAGCACCTGGACAACAATATCCAGAAGGTCAGCCAAATGCACACACACTCAGGTGGTGACCCTTCGAGTCCTGGTTGCTGTCGATTCGGCGTGCAGGAGTCAGAGGAGCTGCATGTGGTGCTGCGCGTGAGGGTGGCGTGCGGCGGGCAGGGAAGGAGCAGGAGAAGGAGCGTGCCCCCGGCTGTGCGTGTCGTGATCTGGTCAGCCATCAGCGGCGCGCAGAGGAGGCCGAGCGAGTGGGCAGGGCAGCAGCTGAGCAAAAGCTCAAAGCGGTAAGCCGACGACATACAGCATGCACAGAATGTCCATGCTGTTCTGTCTATTCTCATCAGACTTTGGTGGAGCTCGGAGCCGCCAAACTACTCGAGGTGCATCCCAAGGCCTACACTGCCTCGTGTGTGTGCTGCATGGCTCATGTGTTTTGTGTTGTGCAGTCGTCTCTGCGTGCGGGGCTCACCGGTGCAGCCACACGCGAGATGGCCCTGGTGGAGCAGCTGAGGGAGGCCCATCGGCAGCGGAGGGAAGCACAAGAGCAGCTGAGGGAGGCCCATCGGCAGCGGAGGGAAACACAAGAGCTGCAACAGCAGGCCGTCACTGACCTACAGACAAGAGCGCAGACACACCAGTTGGTGAGCAAGGCAGATCACACACGTGTGCAGAGAGAGGAGGGTTTGAATGCTGGTTCTGTGTGTGTTGTGTGTGTGGATGGGTGGTGTGTGTGTTGATGGTCAGTTGAGGGCCCTCCAGTCGCAGTTGGACCAGGGCGCTGAGCAGCTCGCCCAGGCCGAGCAGACCGTGCAGCAGCTGCAGCAGCAGCGAGACGAGAGAGACGCCGAGCTCTCGGCAGCCCAGGAGGGGCTCTCGACCGAGGGGCAGGCCATTGCACAGAGAAACAGATCTGTGTGTGTTGTGTGTGTGTGGATCTGTCAGGCTATGGACGACCAGCGCCGCGAGTCGGGGGAGAAGGCCGGCAAGGACCGGTCCAGGCTGGAACAGCAGATCACAGCACAGGAGGTACGAACCAAACGCACACACACACACAGATAGATCAGTGCAGGCAACCCTCTGAAATGAACGAACCCATGTGTCTGCGTGAGTGTGTGCAGCTGGAGTTCAAGAAGAAATCGGAGGCGCTGGAGAGCCACAACGCCCACGTGGAGCGGCAGCTCAAGGCCGCCAACCAGAAGCACGACGAAGAGGTCTGCATGAAACCCCCACACTCATACTCACGCCCATTTCTCTCTGCGTCCGTGTGTGAGCATGCTCTGCAGCTGTCCGCCGATTTCGAGGGCAATGCCTTCTGGCAGCACAAAATACTCGGTGGGCCTACCTGTTCACATGGCTCATATGGCTTTTGCCACACACACAGACAGAGAGAGAGAGAGACACGAATCCATCTGTGTGTGTGCGTGCGTGTGCAGGGACGTGTGTGTGTGTGTCAGTTGATGGCAGGCAGGGAGGCAAGCAAGCAAGCAATCGCTGTCTACATTTTATATCTCAGTAGGTTCATGTCTCGAGATGCGCGCGGAGAGATGATGTCGCACCTGGACAAGAACATCCAGAAGGTCAGCCAAATACACACACGCTCAGAGGTGGCCTCCGAATTCTGGTTGCTGTCGATTCGGCGTGCAAGAGTCAGAGGTGCACGTGGCGCTGCGCCTCAGGGGCGGCGGGCAGCGGAAAAGGAAGGGGCAGGAGAAAGAGAGCGACACAGCTCCTTGGCCCCCCCTCACCGTAGGTGTCAGTGGAAGAGAATAGAACCGGTGATGGATTCTGAGCTGTGTTTCTCTTGTACCCACAGCAATCTGCACCGCCGCCGCCAGCCTCTGAAGACCCGTCCGTCATCTTGACCAAGTGGGCCTACTACGACCCAGTCTACGAGGTCGAGCTGACGGACGGGCAACTCAAGGAGGCCGCAGAAATATCCCAGTGTGCTATCGAGTAGGCGTCAGCTCGAATATCTTGGCCGTCTTTGGTCACGGTTGTGGGCTGCTTTCAGGAGGGACAAAGACGAGGGCTGGCTGAAGATTACGGGCACGGAAGCCCAGAGGGGCACCGCGAGAATTGTTCTCGACGAGGCGGTGAGCTACACGCAAATTGGCTGATGCCATTTGTAGCTTGTGGTCCTTTTGAGCGCTTTTAGGAAGCACGAGGATTAGAGGCCAGCAGCAGCAGCAGCAGCCAAGTGAGATTGAGATAGAAGCGGCAGCGCTCATGCACTCATCGGCCGGCCGTCCGGCTGTGTGTGTTGTGATCTGGTCAGCCATCAGCGGCGCGCAGAGGAGGCCGAGCGAGTGGCCAAGGCAGCAGCTGAGCAAAAGCTCAAAGCGGTAAGCCGACGACATACAGCATGCACACAACGTCCATGCTGTTCTGTGTATTCTCATCAGACTTTGGTGGAGCTCGAAGCCGCCAAAGTACTCGAGGTGCATCCCAAGGCCTACACTGCCTCGTGTGTGTGCTGCATGGCTCATGTCTTTTGTGTTGTGCAGTCGTCTCTGCGTGCGGGGCTCACCAGTGCAGCCACACGCGACAGGGCCCTGGAGGAGCAGCTGAGGGAGGCCCATCGGCAGTCGGAGGGCAAGGTGCGCCTCCGCGTGTGTATATGTGGGTGTGTGGGTGTGGATGGGTGGTGTGTGTGTTGATGGTCAGTTGAGGGCCCTCCAGTCGCAGTTGGACCAGGGCACTGAGCAGAGCCGGGCTGCCGAAATGGAGACGCTGCGGAAAGAACTTGCCAGGCATGCAGGCCGACCATCCCCACCGAAATGAATGCCACTACATATATCTTTTCTCTCTCTCTCTCTGTGTTTGTGTGTGTGCCGCGTGCAGACCATGGTGGACGTTTTTTTGTTGCTGTTGCGGTCCCCGCCCTGGCCACCACTGATTGTGTGCGTCCGTCCGTCCCTTTTGTGTTTATGTGCGTGTGTGCAGCCTGCAGCCAGCCCTTTCTATGCCCCCCTCCCCTCCCCTCTCCCCCCGTCCCCTTTGTCTGTGTTGCCTAGCTGTCTCTCTACTGTTCGACTCTTGGCTGTCTGTCGCTCTGTGTGTGTGTGTGTGTGTGCAACGCCCTCGCTCCGTGCAGTGAGAGGGATGCGTACATATCAGAGGTCCAGAGTGAGCGCGACGCCCTCACCAAGCAGTGCCAGGCCCTGCAGGAAGTTCGGGTAAGTCAATAGGACACCCACCGTTTCCTTTCTCTTTCTCTGCACGGAATGTGTGTGTGTGCAGGAAGAGCAGGAGGGCGAATTGGGGAGACTGCAGAGCGAGAAGAATCTACTAATAGGTCACACTCGCGCTCAGACGTGATTCACACACACACACACGTCTCTCCCTCCCCCCTATCCACTCATCGTCCAACCAGGCCGACCAGCACACTGACCTGCAGCACACATGTGGACGTCAAGAGGCCGACATCGAGGCGCTCAAAAGGTGAGCACTTGGCAAGAGCACCATTCACCCCACCCATCCCTGTGTGTATGTGTTCGTGTGCAGCGAGTTGGCGGAGACGCGAACGGTCAAGCAGGAGATGCACACGGAGCTCACCGCAGCGAAGGAGGACCTGCAGAGCGAGAGGAGCGCGCTGGCGGTGCTGCAGCGGGCCCACGACGACCTCAAGGCCCAGACAGAGACACTCGAGGACACACTCAGATCCACACAGAAGTATGACTGACACATAGTGACCGAGGCTTTGCAGCTCTCTGGTTTGTGTGTGTGCCGCGTGCAGACCATGGTGGGCGTTTTTTTGTTGCTGTTGCGGTCCCCGCCCTGGCCACCACAACAGCAAGTGACTGACTGACTGACTGACTGCTGCCTGACTGCTGCCTGACTGCTGCGGGACCGCATCGCTGCAAGCCGACCTCCAGCAACTGAGAGAGGAGCTCGCCCACACAAAGAGCAACAGGGACGCCCTGCAGCAGCAGGCAGGCTCACAGCCCCCACTGCCACCACCCACCCACCCACCCACACACACACAGAGAGAGAGAGGGGAAGTGGCTCTATGTGTGTGTCGAGTACAGGTGAGAGCGGTTGAGTCATCCTGAACAGAGAGGGAGGCGGCTCTCACTGAAGCGCAGCGACTGCTGACAGCCGAGCAGGCCGCCAAAGAAGCTGCACAGAGGTAACCTCCCCCGACAACACTGACACACACACAGGTGCACCCCTCTCTCCTTATGTGTGTCACAAGCAGACCATGGTGGGCGTTTTTTTGTTGCTGTTGCGGTCCCCGCCCTGGCCACCACTGACTGACTGACTGCCTGACTGCTGCCTGACTGCTGGGGGTGGGTGAGAACAACAACAGATTTTTGCATGACCAGCTGATGCGTGTGTGCATGCTTGAGTGTACACAGCAGACCACACAGGTTCTTCTCTGTCAACAATGCGTGTGTGTGGGTGTGCAGACGAGGGACCCCTTTCAAGACCCACATGGCGGCCTTTGTTGAGAAGGACAGATGGGCAGAGATGGGGCATCATGGGCGAAATGGGCAGTGGCAGTGATGCAATCGCTGTCTATATTTTATATCTCGGTCAGTCCGTGTCTCCGACTTAACACGCACGCCTCTTTCATGGCCGCTTCATGGCCTTGGAAACCACCGAAAAAGTCGTAAGTCAGCACTGAGAGAGCAAGAAAGAGAAGTGGTTGGATGGATGGGCTGTGCGTCCAGCCCATCCATCCGCCCTCACAAGTTGATCAAGAAGATGGAGCAGCCCAACAAGCTGGTCGTAGCAAAACTGTCTGCCAGCGACCACCTGCGCCGCCTGAAGGGCAGCATCGAGAACATCGCGTAGGCATGTCTCCACAAAGGCCGCGTCGTATTCGCTCACCTGTCGTGTGTCTGTCTGTTGCAGTGAGGAGCTGAATCCAGCTTTGGAGCCCGTGCTGCTCAAACAGACCTTCAAGAGGGACTACACGACCACGCCATCTGCCCCCAAAAGACCGTATGACGAAGTCAAGGTAGGCAATGTGCCATGGACCGATCTTCAGAAGGAACGTTCAGTCCGCCGCGCTCTGTGTGTGCATCGAGCAGGGTCAAGAGACGGCCGAGCTGATGAAGGTGGTGGCTGCCGAGACGGAGAAGGCCGGGACCCTCTCTCAGGCCCTGCAGCAGCAGGAGACAGAGCTCACGCGTCGTGTGGAGGAGCAGCACCGCGATACACAGCAAAAGGTGACCACAACAGGGGGAAGCTACTGTCTCTATCACTAGCACATCCCCTCTCTTCCCCTCGCTGCCTCCCAGCCCAGGCCGAGACGGACCAGGGGACGATCGAGCAGCTGCGGGCGGAGCATTCCTCCCTCAGAGACGAAGTCGCCAGGTGAGATTGAGATAGAAGCGGCAGCGCTCATGCACTCATCGGCCGGCCGTCCGGCTGTGTGTGTTGTGGTCTGGTCAGCCATCAGCGGCGCGCAGAGGAGGCCGAGCGAGTGGCCAAGGCAGCAGCTGAGCAAAAGCTCAAAGCGGTAAGCCGACGACATACAGCATCCACACAACGTCCATGCTGTTCTGTGTATTCTCATCAGACTTTGGTGGAGCTCGAAGCCGTCAAACTACTCGAGGTGCATCCCCAGGCCTACACTGCCTCGTGTGTGTGCTGCATGGCTCATGTGTTTTGTGTTGTGCAGTCGTCTCTGCGTGCGCAGATCACCGGTGCAGCCACACGGGAGAGTGCCCTGGAGGAGCAGCTGAGGGAGGCCCATCGGCAGCGGAGGGAAGCACAAGAGCAGCTGAGGGAGGCCCATCGGCAGTCGGAGGGCAAGGTGCGCCTCTGCGTGTGTGTGTGTGGGTGTGTGTGGATGGGTGGTGTGTGTGTTGATGGTCAGTTGAGGGCCCTCCAGTCGCAGTTGGACCAGGGCGCTGAGCAGCTCGCCCAGGCCGAGCAGACCGTGCAGCAGCTGCAGCAGCAGCGAGACGAGAGAGACGCCGAGCTCTCGGCAGCCCAGGAGGGGCTCTCGACCGAGGGGCAGGCCATTGCACAGAGAAACAGATCTGTGTGTGTTGTGTGTGCGTGGATCTGTCAGGATATGGACGACCAGCGCCGCGAGTCGAAGGAGAAGGCCGACAAGGACCGGTCCTGGCTGGAACAGCAGATCAATGAACTGGAGGTACGAAGGTACTACGAACCAAACGCACACACACACACAGATAGATCAGTGCAGGCAACCCTCTGAAATGAACCAACCCATGTGTCTGCCTGAGTGTGTGCAGCTGGAGTTCAAGAAGACATTGGAGGCGCTGCAGAGCCACAACGCCCACCTGGAGCGGCAGCTCAAGGCCGCCAACCAGAAGCACGACGAAGCTTCCACACTCATACTTTCGCCCATTTCTCTCTGCGTCCGTGTGTGAGCATGCTCTGCAGCTGTCCGCCGATTTCGAGGGCAATGCCTTCTGGCAGCACAAAATACTCGGTAGGCCTACCTGTTCACATGGCTCACATGGCTTTTGCCACACACACAGACAGAGAGAGAGACACGAATCCATCTGTGTGTGTGCGTGCGTGTGCAGGGACGTGTGTGTGTGTGTCAGTTGATGGCAGGCAGGGAGGCAAGCAAGCAAGCAATCGCTGTCTACATTTTATATCGTGTGGTCGCTTCATGTCTCGAGATGCGCGCGGAGAGATGATGTCGCACCTGGACAAGAACATCCAGAAGGTCAGCCAAATGCACACACACTCAGGAGGTGGCCCTCTGAATTCTGGTTGCTGTCGATTCGGCGTGCAGGAGTCAGAGGTGCACGTGGCGCTGCGCCTCAGGGGTGGCGTGCGGCGGGCAGGGAAGGGGCGGGAGAAGGAGAGCGACACAGCTCCTTGGCCCCTCCTCACCGTAGGTGCAAGGGGAAGAGAATAGAACCTCTGATGGATTCTGAGCTGCGTTTCTCGTGCACCCACAGCATTCTACACCGCGGCCGCCAGCCTCTGAGAACCCGTCCGCCATCTTGACCAAGTGGGCCTACTACGACCCAGTCTACGAGGTCGAGATGATGGACGGCCAACTCCAAAAGGCCGCACAACTATCGGGGTGCACCGTCAAGTAGGCGTCAGCTCGAACATCTCGGCGGTCCTTGGTCACGGTTGTGGGTTGCTTTCAGGAGGGACGGAGCCCCAGGCTGGCTGAAGATCACGGGGACGAAAGCCCAGAGGGGCACCGCGAGGATCGTTCTCGACGAGGCGGTGAACTAGACGCAAATTGGCTGATGCCCTTTGTAGCTTCTGGTCCTTTTGTCACAGAAGGACCGCCACCACCAGCAGCAGCAGCAGAAGCGGCAGCCCCTCTGAAGCCCCTCACCTCCAGCAAGCGCGACACCATCTCCCCGCCCCTGAGGGCAGGTCACAACGTCGCCGCCCAGTGCCCGGAGTGCGCGGCCAACAAGGAGGCTCTCTACAAGAAGCGAGAGAAGATGGGCAAGTGAGCAAACAAGACACCCAGACAGACAGACAGACAGATGCTGTCTCGCAGATATTGGCAGGCATGGTTGATTCCATCTGTCCGGCCTGCCTGTGTTGTGCTCAGGCTGAGGGCCTTCCACACGGTTGTCACATCGCACATGGAGGGTCAACTGAAAGAGGTATGAAACGGCAAGGGGCAGTCGATCGTGTGTTTGTGCTTGACACCCAAGTACCCACAGCGCACCATTCCGACACCCTACACGATTGTCGGACTCTTCTGTGTGTGGCAGCTGTCTCGGTGAGAAAGCTGAGCTGCTCCGCAGCGTGCCACACAGATGGAGCGCCGTGTAGGAGAGGACGGTTGCTCAATCATGTCATCGTCACGCACACACAGACAACTGGTTCGTGTGTGTCTGTCTGTGGGTCGATAGGTCAACAATTCACACCCAAGGACAGAACGAGTCGCTGCGCGAGTTGCGAGAGCAGCAGAAACTCATGCATGAGGAACTACACCAACTCGCCGTATGCACCGCACCTCCAAACTGAATGACGTTCAAAGTACCACCGCTTTCTGGATGCACAGGCTGCCAAGGCCAAGTGCGATGCCGACATGGACGCACAGGATACACTCATCAAAGACCAGGCAAGCGCCCCTCCAAGCACTCAATCGACACACAAAAAGAGAGATAGATGTGTGTTGTGTTGTGTTGTGTTGCCCGTCTGTCTCCCTCGTTCAGGCCCGACAGCTGGAGCAGCTCAAGACACAGCACGAGAGGTACGCAAGGATTGGATACACAGGCAGACAGAGACGCGCACACACACATATCCGAGGCCCTCTGTGTGTCACAAGCAGACCATGGTGGGCGTTTTTTTGTTGCTGTTGCGGTCCCCGCCCTGGCCACCACAACAGCAACTGACTGACTGCCTGACTGCTGCCTGACTGCTGCCTGAATGGCTGGCTGTGTGGGTGAGTGGCTGGGTGGTATGCGTTGGATTGGCTTGGTTGGACTCTTGTCATACATCTTACCTACTTGTCTCTCTCGTCTGTCAGCATTTCGGTCTGTGAAGCAGCATGGCATAGCATACAAAACAGAAGAGTCGGAGGGCAAGGTGCGCCTCTGCGTGTGTGTGTGTGGGTGTGTGTGGATGGGTGGTGTGTGTGTTGATGGTCAGTTGAGGGCCCTCCAGTCGCAGTTGGACCAGGGCGCTGAGCAGCTCGCCCAGGCCCACGACGACCTCAAGGCCCAGACGGAGACACTTGAGGACACACTCAGATCCACACAAAACCATGACTGACACAGAGTGACCGAGGCTTTGCAGCTCTCTGGTTTGTGTGTGTGCCGCGTGCAGGAGTCTCGACGACAGTCAAGCCGAGTGTGTCATCCTGGTGGGTGTGCCTTCACCTAGCACATATGTACCCCTGAAGCTCTACAGACACTAGACACATATGGTCTGTGTCGCCCTCCTTCTCTCTCTCTCTCCCTCTCTCTCTCTCTCTCTCTCTCAGGTGCAGCAGAAGATACAACACGAGCGGTGCGCGCGCAGACATAGACACAGAAGGCACACTGACTGCATCTCTGTGTGTGTGTGTGTGTGTGTGTGCAGACGAGTGACTCTTCAAGACCCACATGGCGGCCTTTGGCGAGAAGGACAGATGGTCAGAGATGGGGCATCATGGGCGAAATGGGCAGAGGCAGTGATGCAATCGCTGTCTGCATTTTATATCTCGGTCAGTCCGTGTCTCCGACTTAACACGCACGCCTCTTTCATGGCCTCTTCATGGCCTTGGAGACCACCGAAAAAGTCGTAAGTCAACACGAGAGAGCAAGAAAGAGAAGTGGCTGGATGGCCTGTGCCATAGGTGCGGTCCCCACATAAGCTTTCGGACGTCGTCCAGCGGATGGTAACCCCACACACACACACACACACGCTGATCTCGTGTGTGCATGTTACATGCCTCACTGAAATGATCTGACTGAGCTACCCTCTCTGCACTCAGAAACGCAGAAAGAAGGAAAGTGTGGATATGCACAGAGGAGGGATATGCACGTCTGGGAGTGTGGAGACGTGGCATTTCGTCTGGTGTGCGGGGGGGCAGGACAAGGCCAACGACGCCACCATGGAGCAGGCTCGTGTCAGTGAGCCTGCACCGCACACACACGCGAGCCTTTCTCTCATTTGTCGTGTGTGTGTGGTGTCTGTTTGTGTGCATCAAGCCTGCTACACCCATCCCAAGGACTGCCGCGAGTGCGCCGCCCAATTCTGGGACGAAAATGGCTACTTGGAGGAGACGTCAACTCTCGCATTCCTGCACACACACACACACACTGAAAGAGACAGATGCGCGCATTACCATACCATGTGTGTGAGAGATGCATACCTCGTGTGAGTATGCAGGGAATGGGTTGTTTGGGTTTGACGAGGACCTCGTAGAGGACGCCGTGGCGGCAGAGAAGGGGGTGCGGACGATGGGCATCTTCACTGACAGACAGACACAGACACAGCAGAGTAGCCCCCACACACCCACAGACAGACCGGGGGAAAGGGACGTCGCGTCCGGCAACTGGCAGACGCACAGACACATCATCTCTGTCCGTGGCATTGTGTGCAGGGCATACTCAGGATGTGTGAAGACAACAAGGCGTCGCTCAAGTAAGCGACCATCAATGCATCGATGTCGATGCCTACTGCAGACGCCGGCACATGATCTTTGTCTGCGCAGGGCCAAGTCCAAGATGCGCGGCTTCCACCCGGTGGAGAGATCCGTGAGAGTCGAAGGTAGGCTAGGGACCTCGATCACATCACGCTAAGTGTTCAGACACGTGTGTACCAATGCCTGTGTTGTGTTCTTTTGCGATGCAACGATCGGGGCTACAGAGGGCCAGGCGCTGCTTCTTGTGGAAACAACCGAGAAAGTGGTGAGTTGTGAGGATCTCCGGCTTACGGCTTGCTTCACCCACGCGAAAGACTGCCGTGAATGTGCCCAGTACTGGGTAGTACCTTTTCCAGCCAGCCTGCCTGCCTGCACAAACACACAGGAAGAGGGAAGAACATCTGTGTGTGTGTGTGCTCCAGGCAACGGCCTGTTCGGCTACGACGCGGACCTGGTAGAAGATGCCGTGGCCGCTGAAAAGGAGGTGCGCACGATGAGCATCATGGGCAGGGGCACACACTCGTATCTCTATCTATCCCTCCATCCATCCGTGTGCATGACTGTCTATGTGAGTGCATGCATGCCCCTATCAATAGAAACCGGCAGTGCAGACACACACACACATTTCCAAACACCCATTCTCCCTCTCTCTCTCTCTCTCTGTGTGTGTCTCGCTCTGCGCACTGCAGCAACGGTCAGATCGCTTTGGGGCGTACATGCGCGTCCGTAACGGCAAGATTGGGTATATGATCGAGGTCAGCGCATTGACATATTGCGACACATACACATTGTGTGTGCTGACAGGTCAATGATCCGAACCCGCAGACGTACACCAAGGAAAAGGAGCAGGTACAGAAACACACACACACATCCACGCACTGCTTTCTCTGTCAACGATTCATGTGTGTGCGCTAATGGTGTGTGCAGACCTCCGACCTCTTCAAGACCCAGATAGCCGCGTTCGTCGAGAAGGATAAGTGCGAGCAGCTGGACCAGGTGGTATGTGCGTGAGTACACATACGAGGAACACACAGCTCTCTGTGTGTGTGTCTATACGTCAGCTGTCGGCCGATTTCGAAGGCAACGCCTTCTGAGGACACCAAACACTTGGTGGGCCTACCTGTTCACATGGCTCATATGGCCCTCACCAAACACACAGAGACAGAGAGATACGAAACCATCTCTGTGTGCAGGGAATGAGTACATGGACTCGCTTCCAGCGTCGCAGTTCACAGGTGCCCCTATAGACGCCCAGACCTTCAACAAGGAGAAGGACAAGGTATAGAAACACACACACACACACATATCCACTCAAACGGCTTTCTCTGTCAACGCTTCATGTGTGTCGAATGGTGTGTGCAGACCTCCGACCTCTTTGTGGAGGACAAGTGCGAAGATCTTGACCAAGTGGTATGTGAGCACACACATGAGGAACGCACAGACTAGGATGGATATCTCTATCTCTCTCTGTATGTGTGTATCTCAGCTGTCCGCCGACTTCCAGGGCAATGCGTTCTCGGTCAGCAACACACAGTGTGTCACACACACAGACAGTCACACTCAGACTCACAGAGAGAAAGAAGTGCATCAATACCATGTGTCTGTCTGTCCAGGGAACGGCTTGCTAGAAAACGCAGAGATGGGCAGAGGCAGACAATTTTTGTATGGATGTCGCATTTATGCATTCATGCAATCGCTGTCTACATCTTATATCTCCGTCAGTTTGTGTCTCCGACTTAACACGCATGGAAAGTGATTGCAAGGCCGTGTGCGAGACATCTGTGAAGACATGGACGAGGCATGTCCTTAATCGAATCGACACACTAGGAGAATAGCAATCAAGATGTCACTCCATCACACGTCTGCAAACGTCTGGGAAAGCCATGAACACCGTGCTCTCTTTCCATTCCCACAGCACTGCATCATATGACATCCGCTTCTCTCTCTCTCTCCTCTCTCTCTCTCTTGCGCATTCTGACCTCTCTGCCGTTCATGTCCATGCTAGCAGGGATGACGTGAATGCGCACGCGCTAAGCTAGCAGACCCGTGCTCGGGATGGGAGTGATGGACGAACACAAATAACGGACCACCTTGGAGAGCGAGATGCCTCCACGCCCTCTTCCAGCTCTTTCCAAGGCGCGCTGAAGGGAGGCATTGGCGACGGCATGAATGGATCGCTCCAAGGCGCGCAGAGGGACGCTGCAGAGCTCCCGAGGACACACACACACACACGCCACACAGAGGCCGAGAGCGATGACGACGGCACTGCTGCTGCTGATGCTGATGCTGCTGGCCCTCTTCGCGAGGGAGGCGAGAGGTACGCACATCTGCCTGTGTGTTGGTGTGGAGAGATCTCTCCGTGATCTCCGCGTGTGGCATTTCTTGTGGTGTGCAGGGGCGCAGGACAAGGACATCACCGGCACCATGGAGGCCCTGTACCTCAACATGGCCCGCGTAAGTGAACGAACGCGTTGAGCTGCCTGTGCTGGCTGCCACACAAGCACATGCATGAGCCTCTCTCTCTCTCTCTCTCTCTGTGTGTGTGTGTGTGTGTGTGTGTGTGTGTGTGCGAAATAGGCGTGTTACACGCACCCAAAGGACTGCCGCGAATGCGCCGCCTTGTGGGATGAGAACGGCTACCTCGGCGGTACGTCGCTTCTCACATCCATCCGAGGAATGCATTTCTGTCTAATGCTTGTGTGGATGTGTGCTTCAGGCAACGGCCTCTTCGGCTACGACAGCGATCTAGTCGAAGACGCCGTAGCCGCCGAGAAGGAGGTGGACATGATGGGCGACACGGGCAGAGACAGACAGATGCAGACTAGCCCCCACACACTCACACACAGACCACACACACACGACAGCCCAAAGCAGGTACCACGTATCTGTATTGTACACAAAGAAGGGTGGAGATCACCCTGTCTGTGTCATTTGCGTGATACTGGTGGGCACACAGACAGAACACCTCTCTCGCTGTGTGTGTCTGTGGCATTGTGTGCAGGGCATTATGCGCATGTGCGAGGACAACAAGGAGTCCCTGAAGTAAGTGATGCTCATCGATGCGTTGATGAATAGGGACACCCACATACAGCCATGTGTGTATGTGTGCAGGCAGAAGTCCAAGATGCGCGGGTTCCACCCAGTCGAGCGCTCTGTCCGTGTTGAAGGTACGCTAGGGACCCGACAAAGCGTGCATACAGGTGTGAAAATGCGTGTGTTGTGTATTGTGATGCAGCGATCGGAGCGACCGAGGGGCAGGCCCTGCTGCTTGTCGAGACAACCGAGAAAGTGGTGAGTGCATGCACAATACACGCAGAGAGGTGTGTGTGTCTGTGTGTGTGTGTGTGTGTGTGGTATAGGTGCGGTCACCACATAAACTCTCGGACGTCATTCAACAGATGGTAACCTCACACTGTGATCGCGTGTATGTGTGTACGTGTGCACTGAGCTACGCTACCCTCTGTGCACACAACACAATGCACGTGTGTGTAAATCTACACACACGTGTAGTGTGTTGTGTTGCGTGTGCACACTGATCTCTTTCTCTCTCTTTCTCTCTCTGTGCGTGCGTGAGGATTCCCATCTCACTTTTTTATGCATGTACTGCTCCTCTGATATCTCTACTCTTCTCGCTTAGGTCACAATGAGCATCAGCGTAAGAGCATCAAACTGACTGGCTGACTGACTGAAAGAAAGAAAGAATGACAGAGAGAGATCAGTCAGTGCATTTGCATGAGTGCGTCCGCGTGTCTATACCTATCCCTCCACTCACTCACCCATTCATGTGCATGATTGTCTGTGTGAGTGCATGCCTCTATCAATACAAACCGGCAGTGCAGACACACTCACACATGCCCGAGAACCCATTCCCTCTCTCTCTGTGTGTGTCCCTCTGCACTGCAGCAACGTTCAGATCGCTTCGGCGTCTACATGAGGGTCCGTAACGGGAAAATAGGGTATATGATCGAGGTCAGCACATTGACACATTGGGGCACATACACACGCGCACACAAGGGGGGGCGAAGGAGAACGTGTGTGGTTGTCTGTGGCTGTGGGTTGATGACAGGTCAACGACCCGCACCCCGAGAGCTACACCAAGGAGAAGGAGAAGGTACCGACACGGACAAAGACACTCACACGCTTGGCCACACACACGGCTTTCTCTGACAACAATGCCTGTGTGTGTGCGTGTGTGTGCGAATGGTGTGTGCAGACCAGCGACTTGTTGAAGGCCCAGATGAAGGCGTTCGTCGAGAAGGACAAATGCGACGAGCTGGACTCGGTGGTATGTGCGTATGAGCACACAGATGACGAACACACAGATGGATGGATCGTGTGTGTTATGCCAGCTTTCGGCCGACTTCGAGGGAAATGCTTTCTGGCAACACAACACACTCGGTCGGTCGACCTGCCTCTTCACATGGCTCATATGGCTCTTGCCACATACACACACACAGAGAGGGAGAGACACACGCGTCTATCTGTGTCCAGGGAGCCAGTATATGGACTCCCTTCCGGCATCGCAGTTCAGAGGTCAACCTACACACACACACACACACTCGCGAACATGATGCGTGTATGTGTAAGGGTCTCACGTGTCTGTTGATGTGCGCAGATGCCTGCCACGCGCTGCACAAGAAACTCAAACACATGGGAAAGCAGTCAGTGTGACAGATACACATACAAATACATGGCGACATGAGTGGATGGATGTGCGTGCATGTGTGTGTGTGGTCAGCCTGCACCCGCACCCCGAGATCGAGTACACCATTCGCGAGCTCTTCAGCGACCCATTCTCACGTACGCACATACACAAACATGCATACACTCATGTGCACGAAAGGCGATTGTGTGGGTGGATGCACTTGTGCAGGGACGTCTATGGTGTCGATTGACCTCGACTGGATACGCAAAGTCAGCACACACACACACATTCTGTCAGTACATGGGTTGGTGAGCGCGCGCGCGCGCGCGTGTGTGTGTGTGTGTGTAGGACGCCCACACCAGTGCGACGTTCCTGATGGATGGCGAGAACCAAGTTAGCCAACACACACACACACACACACACATGCAACAGCAAACACGCATTACCCATGTGTGGGCAATGTGTGTGTCTTATTAGGATCTGCTCACGCGTCTCAAGCAAGCAGAGCAAAAGAGCGAACAGGTGAGCAAATCCATCCATCCACACACACATGGACACCCACATCTCTCTGTGTGCATATGTGTGTAGGTGTACGCCAAGATCGGTCAAATGGAAGACAAGCTCGACCAGACCACCGAAAAAGCCGCACAAATGAACGACGTGGTTCGCGAACCACGTCGTCCCCCTCCCTCACATACACACACATACACACAGACAGACATATCACTGCTGGAATCCATGTATGGATGTATCCGCAGATCGATTCCTTGAAGGGTGCACTCGAGAGCGCACGACAAGAAGCCGAACGGGTAAGTAACCTCCCACACACAAGCCAAGCCTCTCACACACACACCGGGCACACACGCATTGATGGATGGACGGATGGATGGATGGATGACCCACTTGCATGTGTGTTGTGTGTAGGTGGAGCGCATCGACGAGGAGATGCAGCGCGTAAGCCCAGCAAGCATGCACACACACACACACGTACGCGTGTGTCTGTCTGTCTGTGTGATGTGTGCAGGAGAGCGAGGCCGCCCTAGACCAGCTGCAGAGAGCTGTCGAGGTCAGTCAGCCAGTACCCACACCCACTCCACTCATATGTGCATTCCCCCCTCTTTGTTTGTGTGTTTGTAGGGCGCCGAGCGCACCGCCCAGCGCATCAGAGAGGAAGAGAAACGAGCCGCAGAGCAGCAGGCCAACCAGCCGCAGGTAGACGGACCAAGACCACAGCTTTCTCCCATCCAGTTCTGTGTGCACTTGAGTGTGTATGTGTGTGTGTGTAGGGTGAAGTGCAGCCGACAGAGACGCCAACAGACACAGACACAGACACCGAGGGCGAGCCATCAGCGGTCGGTATCCAACATACACACACACACGCAACACAAGAAGAGAGAGAGAGAGGGAGAGACCATGCCCACTGGTACTTATGTGTGTCTGTGTGTGTATTGGGTGCAGGTGCTGATGCAGGCCATGACGGAGGCCATGAAGGAAGCCGACCAACGAGAAGTGAGGAGCCAACACTCTCAGACACACACACACATGTGCCTCCATCCATCTATCTCCCTCTGTGTGCAGGCTGCTGGAGGGATGGGTAGTGTGGGTGCCGCGGAGCGTCCTCCCTCGCCCGCGTCTCCCCCCACCATCCCCACTGCTGGAGAAGGCGAACATGCACATGAGCATGCACAAGGGCACGGGGCCGTGGCAGCACACGAGCATGTGGCGGAGCACGAGCATGAAAAGACAGAGGAGGCGCCAGAGGTGCGTGTGCAGAGAGAGAGAGGGGGAGAGACGTTGATGTGTGTGTGGCTCTGTTGATGTGTGTGTGTGCAGCCGGCATTGCCCTCCTCTCTGCGTGTACTGGCCTTCTTCAAGCTGAACGGCGACAACATGAAGATCTCCAACGAGGTGAGTGAAGCGCCCACACACATTCATGACACAGAGAGAGTGCAGATGGCCGGAAAGATGCAAAGAAACACACACATTGGTGTCTCGTGTGTTGTGCGTGTGTTGTGTGCAGGTGCTGTTTGTGGTTCCGAAGCCCAAGGGCAACACGGCATCGGTGCAGTCCGCTTTGCTCGACATCACCGAAGAGGCACCCGGCATGCCGAAACCAGGTAGGTACCTGCACACACACATCTCACACACCGACGGACAGACGGGCATCGTGTCTGTATGTCTGTTGTGTGTGTGTGTGTGCAGGGTATTGGCTGATCCCGGCCGGGATCATTCTGGGCTTTGCGGTGCTCGGTATGCATCCCACCCACATCCACAGAGAGAGAGAGAGTGTCAACAAGGTGTCTGTAATGTCTGTCTCGCTATGCGCAGGTGTGATCATCGCCCGCTGCAACCCGACGGCCGAGAAGAACAAGCCGCTCATCCCCACCTACCAGCGGCTCAACGACCCCCCCACACGTAGATCCAGAGAGAGCAACCACAGCCAACGCCTCGACAGCAGCGACGTCCCCTGAACTGCCTGCCTCCCTCCCTGGCTGTTGGTGCATGGAAACACACACACACACACGGCGGTCGGTGCTGTGTGTGTGTATGGTGATATGTACGTACGTATGTCTTTTGTACGTGTTATTGCGTATTGAGAGTACGTATTGCCGGAATGGTGCGATCGATGGACGTGTGCGCGTGTGTGCATCGATGGCTGGTGGTCGTGTGGATGGATGGATGGGTGGGTGGGTGGGGGCCAGGCCGGTTTTCTCGTGTTTAGTTGGCGTAGTCGGACAGACAGACAGACAGACAGACACCGAATGCAGCATACGGCCATTTTCTCGGTTGCCCCCTTCCTCCCTCCCTCCCTCCCTCCCTCCCTCCCTCATCCCCCATTCAAAGCAGTGCGTTTTAAGTGTCGTGTCGTGTGTATGCGTATCGTGTGTACACACGGCAGCTCTCTCTCGTGCGTGAGCAGAGGGAGAGCACCACTACTTGCCAGCAGTTTTCCAACCTACACACCACACGCGCCTCTGTGTCGCCCGTCTGTGTGTGTGTTTTTTCCCTTCTCCCTCGGTTTTGGTTTGCTCCCTCTCTTTCTCTCTCGGCTGGTGTCGTGTGGTCCGCTGTGTTGTGGTGTGTATGACTTGCCCATACGCACACACACACGATTCGTCCGTGTGTCGTGTGTGACAATTCTCCGGTCAGTCTGCCTGTGTGTCGGCATGTCGGTGTGTGTCGCGGTTGCTGATGGATGGATGGATGGATGCGCCATGCGCGCCGCCCCAAAGTCAGATTGTCACATGGAAATTGACAGATTGGCAGATTCTGTACATCACTGTCGAGTCAACACATGTTGTCTCACACGTATGGATGTGTACACACAAATTCATCTGATCATTCAGCTGCTGGCATACTCCGTCATGGCTGCTCCTCGTCGGCGATCGGGTTTGCGTGAATGATCATCTGCACCACACACACATCCACACACAGATGTGGAGAGATCCCTGCACATGCTATCGGAAGAGCCGCACGTACCTCTTCGATGACAATTGGCCTCTGTGGCCTGTGTGTGTCGGGGTCAGTCGGCTCTGCACACTCACACACCGACACGCGTACAAATGGAGTTATCAGAGAGAATGTGTCTGTGTACCTTTCTCCATCTTGTCAAGGGTGTCGAGCCCATCGATTAACCTGAACACACACATAGTCCATCCATCCACCATCTGTCTGTTTGTCTGCGTGTATGTGTGTGCTTACCTGCCGAAGACGCTGTAGACGCCATTGAGGTGTGGCTGTCTGCTGTGAGTGATGAAGAACTGACTGCCGTTGGTCGACGGACGTCCCTACATAATACACACCATACACAGGCACATAGTATGACCACTTGTCGACGGTGTGGTTGGTGCGGCCTCGTTCAGCTCACCAGGTTGGCCATGGACACGATTCCCCTGCGATCGTGCTGACATACACACAGACACACACACGCACAAAGGAAAGAATGCGTTGCGGACACTCAGGTGGATGGATGGATATGCGCACCTTGAGTGTCGCGACGAACTCGTCTTCGAAGTACTTGTTGGGGTAGATGGACGCACCACCCTGACAATCACACACCACACAGCAGAGAGAGTGTGCATACCCTCTCCCCCTCTCTCCCTCTCCCTCTCCCTCTGTGTGTGTGTGTGTGTGTGTGTGTGTGTCCTCATGGTGGTGTGTGTACCTTCCCCGTGCCCGTCGGGTCGCCTCCCTGGATCATGAAGCCCTTGATGTTCCTACACCATACACACACAGACACATAGACACATAGACATACAGACAGTCAGTCAGTCAGAGAGCTTGATGCCATTACATTCATCAGACAGCATCTTACGTACCTGTGGAACTTGGTGCCATTGTAGTAGCCACTCGCCGCCAAAGCCAGGAAGTTCTGTGAACAACACACAGATCAGATCACGCACCGTGTGACGAACATGGATCCATGTGTGTGTTCGCCCACCCCACCGCACCTTGCAGCACTTGGGCGCCTGGTGACAGAACAACTCAACCTGCGAAACAGACAGACAGACAGAAACAACAACACGTTGATGGTGAGCATGGCCACTCATGAGTGATGGAATGTGTGTATGACCTTCAGATCTCCAAGATTCGTCTTGATTGTCACCGACATTTCTCCCCCTCCTTGCCCCTTTTTTCTCGCGCTTGCGAGCTCAGCGATCGGCACCTCACCGCCCTTTTGTCATTGCCGAGCGTCGTTCTCGGCCTGCCGGACACCCTCAGCTGTGACCCTACTGGCTGCAAACACCGATCTCTCCTGAACGAGGCCGCGATGTCTGTCACCTCAAGCAGCACCATCACAGCGGAGATGCTGCAAAACATCATAGACGGTACGCACATGACCCAACATGGACCCCTGAGGGTGTCATTGCC